TTTGTTTCATCCATCTTTTACCGAAAACAAGAAAGAAAGAAACCCTCGCCGTTTAAATGTACGTACCCGCATGTTATATGTTAACTCACAGTAAGGACGTGAGATTGCCGGTGCAACTGCAGCGAGCTATGGCAGCTGAGGCCGAGGCAGCGCGGGAAGCGCGTGCCAAAGTCATAGCAGCGGAAGGAGAAATGCGGGCCTCCCGAGCCCTAAAGGAGGCTAGCGACGTGATCTCCACGAGTCCGGCAGCTCTTCAGGTATGCATGTATATGTATGGAATTAATATAAAAATACAAAGCACGCGTCATACGTGTATAATTTCAGCTGAGGTACCTGCAAACTCTCAACAACATATCGGCTGAAAAAAATTCCACCATCATTTTTCCCTTGCCGGTTGAACTTTTTACGCCTTTTACGGCTATGAAAAGGTAATCCCTAGCGCGACTATTTTACAATGATGATGCTTGTAATCGATGGATCTCAAGTGACGTGATGCTCAGTTTTTCTATGATGATAATTGAACATATACATATGTGTGCACGTACTAAAATCTTTAAAATCATGGACTATAAGATTTAATTCAAGAGTTCACAACCGCCGATAAATCTGATCGATGGATATACATATACGTCCTCACTTTTTTCCTATAGGAATTTTTCTTGTTTCTTTCGATTTTTATTGGTTTTCGGGGATTTATGTCAGTTTTGGCGTTAGGATACGCAGGCTGATATTATTAAAGATCGGTATGTTGAAACCGATAGTATTGCCAGTCAGTAAAACAGAATTGATGCCAACTGAACCAATTGGTTAGCGAAAAAGAATACAAATGAAAATTCAGAATAACTTGTCGTTTGACCGTAAATTTGGATTTTTCAAAATGAAATTAAGTGTGAGAAATCGAATGTTATTTTATAAAAAATTAAGGAGGGTCCTTCAACTTTTGCTGATTACACATTATGTTTGAAGATATCAATGAATCGCATTAATTTATTTATGTACAAACATCTATAAACATACAAATTTACAAGAATACTTTGAATACTATATTACTATTAATAATATCTTACCTCAGATATAACATTTATGTATTACATTGTAATAATAATGTATAACACAATATTTATAATAATAACACTCAATGTGATAAAAAACAAAGGTAAATTTTCGGTTATACATAACATATGTGGGGAGGGTGGTGGGAAGGAAAGAACGGATGACTAAATTTACGAAAAAGATTATGCATTTTTGCGTATAAATGCCCGTGAATTCATCACCAAAGCAAAAAGTGTGTTTTGGAGTATACAAATTTAACAACTTCTTTTTGTTCGATATATTAACATTTTAACGTTAAGAAAACGATTTTAATTGGCATTTCAACCGATTTTTGTTATGGTAAGAGAAAAAGTCGAAATTAAAAAAAAGTGTTTTTGCAAGTACTTGGAAATTTGTTGTGAAATCACGATTTAACAGTGTATGGGGGTGAGGATCAAATTTAAAAGATTATCTTTAGTCACTATTTTAGAGTTTGTTGGAACATCTACAAGTATTGTACTCGATACTTTATCGTCCATTGCGATATATATTTTGTATCACATCGTTAGGGGGTCCAAGAACTTTGGAGAGTTTGCTTGGGTGAAAAAAAAAAAAAAAAAAAAAAAAAAAAAAAAAAAAAAAAAAAAAAAAAATAGGAAGTAGGGCCGTTCAAACTCCGGTACGTTGACCGAGGGATGCGTTGTCGAGGTTCCTCTTGATGTTCTCCAGCTCCCTCATGTCGGTGAGCGAAGCCTCGCACTTGTAAACGACGAGCGAGTGGTAAAAGTGCACGGCGAAGGCGATGAAGACGATGAGGACGGGTATAACGATGACGGTACTGGCCGTTGCCGCGGTGAACGAGTAATCCCAGAACTTGACCCAACTGAGGATGGCTATCTCGACGAGGAAGAGGAAGAGCCCGAGGACCGTGGAAAAGGCCCAGGCGAGCTCGATGAAGCCGCGCATGCGCTCGTGGGGCGACTCGGTTATCAGCCGGGACGACTGGAGTTTGCTGATCGCCTCGACGTTCGGCAGGAGGTACGTGCTTATCATCAGGGCGAATATGTGCACGGACACCAAGACCGTCGTGCACACCGCGAACATGACGAACAGCCACTCGGGCACCGCCGTTGGCTCGTTTATCTGCAGCTCCACCATCGCCACCTGCGCCAAACAATTTTATACTTTTCGTGCCATTGTCAGTCCAATGCCTCATTTATCCGTTACTCGTAGATATGTACGCCGAGCCAAAGTATATTTCGATGATATCGCGTGTACGCCGATTTCATGTAATCTTTAACGTAACGACGCGAAAAATCGGCTATACCCACGCCGCAATCGTTGTCGCACGCGAGCACCGCCGACCTTGTTCCAGAACCGTCGTATATATATATATATGTATAAACAACATTGTATTTTTCCATACGCGTATGAAATATCGTATACCCGCGGTATAAATGAAACCCAGCAATTTTCCAAGTGTCAATGTAATTAAGCGCTAATCGGCAATCATATACTTCTCTCTCGGAAGCAACAGAAGCGACCTTTTTTTTTTTACGTAAGTTAATAAGCGTGGCGACAGTCGCATCGGCGAGTAATAACCGCGCGAATTAGGGCTAACGATGCGCTGGAAAATATAAAACAACACCAACAGATGCCGATACATTATAGTCCATATGTAAGATGCTCTTTTGTACACGTGAACCGTGGAAACTCACCATGGCGAATCCACTGAGCAGCTCGGAGGTGGTGGCCTGTGGAATAAGTATTTCCGAGATGAAACGATCGACGTGGGTATAATATGTGGCAATGAACAAAAAATCAAAAAATGACGTTACCGTGGCCTTGAGCTTGGCCCTGCTCATGTGGAGTTTTTTCAGCTGGTAGGAGTGCTTGTTGTCCAAGATGGCCTCGGTGGGCGGATGCTTGGGTCCCTCGATACTTTGGTTTCCAGCGGAGGCACCAGTACCGCTCGGTCCACCGGGTACCACCGAGGCCCCCGCGCCACAGCTACAACAGCATCCACCGCAACCGGACCCCGGCACGACCTTGACCATGTCGACGGCGGTGTAACGGCCACCACCTGCAGGGATCACCGGTGGCCGGCTCCGCGGCGACAGGAGGATCTCGCTCTGGGTCGCCGAGAACGCGTAATTCGGGCTCACGGCGTAGTTGGCGTAGCTCAGCTCGCTGTACTGGCTCTGCCGGGACAACTGGCCCACCGACATTGGCCTCGCCCTCTACAAAATTTCTCATTTCGCGCACACATTATAATATATTACACACTAGGTACAGCCAATCGCGTGCATCTGCGGGGACACCTTACCTGGTGGTAACCCGAGTGGGCCAGTCTCCAAGTCGACGCGTCTATTTGGGTTGACTTGGTCGATCTGGTGGTGGTGAGCATGGGTGACGGTAAATCCTCCACCGACGGCGTTTTCGGGCTCAAGCGCCTCTGCGGCTCCATGTCTATTTGACACGGCGCGGTGTCCTGCACCTTCTTGCTCGGCATATCGATTATGCTGTTGTTGTTGGTGTTCGGCATCCTCGATAAATATATGCAGCTTTGCCGTGTAATATGTATCACGGTGATGGTCGCGTCACATTTTTTCAACACTGAAACTTTATCACTTCCACAGAGAAATAGAGAGCAACTATCGTTTGTTCGTTCACTCGCTCACAACGCAGATTTATTCAGTGTCAATTGGATTTTAATCTGTACCCAAAGATCATCTGCCATTATTCAACTTCTCGGCTCCTTTGATAATCATACGTATACGTACATATATGTATATGTACAGGCAAGCTGATAATTATACTTACAATCGGACGAGCGATCTTTGTATCTTGGCAAACGTAATCGGTGTGTGCCTTGTTTGGGTCATTGATTCCCACTCTCGCTGCATCCAACGATTAGCTAACACTATGTGCGAGGGGAAGAAAAAAAAAAAAAAAAAAAAAAAAAAAAAAAAAAAAAAAANTATCGTATTATTTATAAAAAAATAATATGTATGTTGTAAGCTGTAAATTACAATAAGTTGTAATTCATTAGTCATCATTAGCTAAAAATTTTTTTTTTTTCTGAAATATCGTTCAGGCCAAAATTCAAAAAAAGTAATGACTAATGGTAAGTACGATTTTCAAGTTTCATGCTCAGTCTCCAATCAGAGTATAGCTCTATTAATTTTAAGTATCGATCATTGTCACCGTTAGTTGTTCACTCAAATTCTATTCGGTTGGGGGTGACTCTGAATAACCAGATGTATCGATGAAATGTATGTAGCAATTATTTTCCAAAGATGAGAGCACCAGGAAAAAGAAGGAAAAGAAGACAAGCAGCGATCGAGACAAGATGGGATCGATGGCCAACAACGCGATTGAGATGTTGGCCGTGATCGGCTCCGTCCTGCTCATCCTCGCAACCATGCCATTTTCACTGTGCGTCATTTGCAAGGTTGTCCAAGAGTACGAGAGAGCCGTGGTTTTTCGCATGGGCCGGTTGAAGGGAGGCGCTCGGGGACCAGGTAAAACGATCACAATAAACAAAAACAAAAATCGATTCAATTGCGCAATGATGATGGTATTAATTTCGTCAGGGACATTTTTCGTCATACCTTGTATCGACGATTGCGTGCGAGTCGATTTGCGAACCGTCTCGTTCGACGTACCACCACAGGAAGTTCTCACCAAAGATTCGGTGACGGTCAGCGTCGACGCTGTTGTCTACTACCGCATCAAAGAGCCGCTCAACGCCGTCGTCAAAATAGCAAATTACAGGTGTACTTTATAAAAAAAAAAAAAAAATACCTTCTAAATGCCCATAATCAAGCAAGTATAAACATTATAAATATATATGTATGTATAGCCATTCAACTCGATTACTGGCGGCGAGTACTTTGCGCACGGTGCTGGGTACAAGGAGCCTGGCCGAGATTTTGGCCGAGCGTGAAACGATATCGCACAACATGCAAACTTCTCTCGACGAGGCCACGGATCCCTGGGGCGTCAAAGTTGAACGCGTAGAGATGTAAATGCTATACAATGCATGATTTCTCCTTTTTTTTTTTTTTTTTTTTTTTTTTTTTTTTTTTATTTTTTTTTTAAAAAAAAAAAAAAAAAAACCGTACGAGAGTATAATATGGTCGGGCAAAAGCAGTGCGCGCACAGCCTAGTTTTGCATTAATTTTGTGTACTCTCTTATCGTTTCCCCCGCGTGCCAACCGTATACGTGTGTTAATCAGCTGGAATCTCTGATCGCCGAGCGGCCGATAGGCGCCTGCCTCGAGGTGTAAAATTTACGAGGTGACGATGATAACGCCTCACTATCCGCCGACGCGGCTATAGTGTCTGGATCGTTCGTCATTGTTGTATATTTTGACAGGTGCTAGCGCTTATTGCTCGATCGACCGATACATAGGTACACATTCATATGGCCACTCTCGAGTTGTCTCGCCCAATATAATGTACCATTCGACGACCCTCTCACTTTGGGTTTCTTGGGAATTTTTCTTTTTCTTTTTTTTCTTTTTTTTTCTTCGCCTTCATTCGATTAGCACTGTTACGTCACGCGGTTCAACATTTTTATGTAACTGCAAACACTCCGTCTCCTCGAAATCCTGGAGCTGTATACGTATATATATACCCGATGCGGTCGAGCTTTGCAACTATTAACTACCGATGGATTTCGAGAAAGAGCCTGCACGTTGCAACACAAACCCGAAGCTCATCTTTCGGAAGTAATTCTTCCTTTCCGCTGATGACGGTTGCGATTTCGAGGTGCAACGCAGAGTTGTGGCTGGTAGAGGCCGGTTGTTTGAAAATACGGAGCAAATCGCCGATTCGGCTACTCATAGGTGCTATGTCGTAGAAGCGATAAAACAAGCGAGCCTTTGAGAAGAAGCTCGCGGTCCGGACTCCGGGCGAGGACTGAGATGGTATTATTATACGGCGAGTGTATACGAAAAGGAGCTCCGTACGAGTGGTCGGGCCGCGCGAGCGATCGTAACAATAGTACGATATCAGCACCGGCGCGCACACACACACACATTTATATGTATGTATATATATATGCGCGTGCATCGTAATGAGTGGCCATTATAATACGGTGACCGCTGTCGCGTAATACAAGACGCGCATATTTTTTTTTTTTGTTTTACGTGTGTGCGCACGTGCTAGTATGATTTTGGTGGAAATTTTCATTATACACCTCGACGATCTTTTCATTTACGAATCTAAATCGGTTTCCATGATGTTGGATGGGACGACTTTTGGCTGTAAACTCGAACTTTCTTTCTTAATTCCTCAGAATTCAACGCGTTTCGCCATCGGATGCTCTTTTTTTGTACCTGTTACGTGAACGATAAGTAATTGCCAAACGATGTATTTGTATAGAAAAATCGGTAAATAAGTTGTTGGGCACCAAGTCTCATTTTTTCACAATTTCATTCGATTCGGAGAATCGAGAGAGAGAGAGGAAAAATCTAAAGTCAATTACAATGTTACCGCTTGATTATCATCACATTGAGCTGGTAATACCGTCACTTATATACTTGGAGAGGAAAATAAGAAGAAAAAATCCAGGACTCCTCTTCGGTTTCTCGAAAATCCATACATTTGGGAATCCCCTGTTTATGTGACAATTCGTACTTTTGTAAAGAAAAAAAAAATTATCCGTGAAAAATACATAAAAGATTATAATGGTTATACGTACATATTTTTTTTTATTTTTTTAATACCCAACATTGTTAACAGGTGTTCCGACTCTTGTGAAGAACGCGCCTTACGTACACGCGTCACGTATAACCGAGTAAACAGCGAATCTGCATCAGTACAGTTGATCATTTTTTTTTTTTGCATTACTTAGAAATCACGTGCGTGTATACGAATCGAGGAATTTTGTTTGCGTTTTAGACACCGAGAAAATCTTGTTATCACAATCAACAGGTGTTGTAAAATCGAAATTTAAGATCTGCGAGCGAGCAACAAGCAAGCCATTACAGGTACACATGTATAACCTTACCGGAAAATAGAAGCGTGTCGATGCTGATAAGATAAGTCTCGCTGGACACGAATGTACCTATCAACTTTGAAGGCGTACGCAATAATCAATTTTTCTTTTTTCATCATCATCATCATCATTCTCTTGTCTTTTGATTGTTTTTTTTTTTTTCTTCATACCGTACAATGTCACTTTTAATAACCAATAGCACTACGTGATTGCAGTCACCTGTAATTCTGTAATTGCAAATGCTTGTTTTTATGTGCACAGCCCGAGGTAGGTGTAATCGCAAAATGAAATCTCGCGCGTATACCTGTGACAATTAAATATTATATGCATGTAGGCACCGGAGACAATATATAATATACAATGCTGGCAGTCTTGAAAATTTTAGTCCAGGAGGTGCAAACAGGATGTGTCCACCTGCAACGGAGAGCAATGTTTGCCGCTTCGTTGCCTCGATAACACGAGGGGATTGAAGTTTATTGTGGAAGCTGTAATCGTTTCCGTTATACATTTTTATGATGGCTATACAGTGCGGTTGTGCAATCCTCAATCTGCACTCGCGCTCGACGCGTTGTCACCAAGCTTGGATTTGGAAAATCATGTGCATAATGCTTCCAAGTTCAATTTTTCTATATATATTTCACGAAAAAAAAAAAAAAAAAAAAACATGCAAGATTCGCGAAACGTCAAAGGAATATTGTGCAACGCGCGAGAAAATGGTACACGCGCGCGATGGATTATTGTTCGAAATGTAATTTCATCCTCAAACATCCGCGATGAGCGCGTGTGTGTGTATGGCTGCATGGATTTTTAATTACATAAATACCGGGTGCCGGGTGACGTAAACACATTTTTAAAAATGATGAATGGCCATGCGCCCGGGATTTTAACAGCGTCACACGAGTATCAACACAATGAGTCTCCTCTCTCAACAATACACCCGGAATTCTCACGTGCTCCTCTCTCGCGCTCGACCGATGCTGTTCCACATTACCCACTGCGTGTCCTCGTTTTTCCAAAATTTTATCCCAAAAACGATGATATTACTTGAGTTGCAGACTCTCTAGGGTTTTTTTTTTTATCGTTAGATCGTACATTCGCTTTACCTATTATCTCGAAAGAAAAATTTATACTTGGTTTGATTTGATCTTTTTATACAAAAAGTGGGTTACTGGCACAAAACGACGCTTTCGTATCGTGGAATATTAATTTTCCTAAAATGTTTATGACTACTGCAATAAACAAACACGTAATAAATCGAATAGCACGATACTGTGATAAGCGCCAATTGGGTCGTATGTTCGTCACAGAAGCTCTTTTTTTTTTTGCTGACGATTCATCCTTTTTCTTAGCTTTTATTAAGTAAATAAATCGGCAAAAGCAAGTTAACATCATATCATCCGAACGCGTAATGTGAATAAATGAAAAAAAAATACTTTGTGTCATTGTCAATTGTTACGGTCACACCGAATTGGTAGATACCAAACATAAAAACTTTTTTTTCATTCGTTAAAAGTTGTACCAAAAAAAAGTGTATATTTTAATTATCACGTAAGTTTAAGAATATGGAAGTACCTTATAGTGGTAGGCGTGAATTCCGCTGAAAATCTAAAGTCGAAGCGAAGGAAATATGTATTTTCTGACATAAGAATAAAAACACATGCTATAATATCTTACAATCAGCGTAAGCACTATTATTATCATTATTTTTCCAGAGCCAAAAATAAAAAAAATCTCACAATGAACATGACGAAGCGATCGATGCACATAAGTTTTGAAAAATCGATACCACGCGTCACATTGAATTTACATACGTACATATGTGCATTTGTGTATACCTGTATAACCGACCAACCACTTGCAAATAACAGAGGTGTTAGTTACCGCGGTGGTCTTGCATTATATTGTGCCGCATACTTTGCATTTCTTGTACCTATATGTACACCTACACGTATACACTTGTGCATAACTGTACAGACGAATGAGTCTTCATGTTGCTACTAATACTGTTACTGCTGTAAACTAACAGCTTGAATTGGTGTTTATTAATAGTTTTGTCGCAACGCGTCTTTTCTATACCCCGAGCCAAAATTTTCATACCATCGTCCAAATACTTGTATTGTTGTTGTTATTTATTTCTTTATTTTTTTTTCAATTTCCTATATTATTCCGGAAGTTGCTTTTTGATTTTTAAACGTAACTCGGTATACGTTTATATGCGTCGGGATAAAACGGCTCGACGTGCATATTATTGGCCACATGACGTACTTACGTGTTATTCGTAATGCAAGAGGTGGTCCTCAAAATGGAAGGGAACCGCCCAAAATTCTAAAAAGTGCAACAGTCAACAATTTATTGTTACGATGTATTATGATAATTGAGAGCTTACGTTACACGGTCCTCAAATATACGTGAATTGAATACTATTATATATATACCATTGACGTGAATCTATACAGTGCATCGTGTATGACGCAAGTGCAGATGAAGGCTCATGAACAGTAAATATCGTAATATTTTTTTAAATTTTTTTTATCCTGCGAGATCTACGCGCATGTACGAATAACGTTTGAATTATATCCATTCCGATCCATTCGAATGATTGCAAACGATAAACTAAACACTTTAAAATCTTTCGAAGCAATTTAAGCGAACGTAATTATTGTAGGCGATTAAATATTATGTTTTTCCGTTTGCGTTTACATATATTTTACGTCAACACATTCATCTGAAATTTTTGATAAAAATTTTCCGCAATTGCTTAGAATAACGAAGTAACGTAATAAATGTAACCAGAATATGCTCTTTTGCAATTCCAAATTTTTGGCTTCAGTTTGCCTTTCTTGTTCAAGTCATCTAATAAACAGTTATAACCCGCTTGTGAGCAGATATATATTTTTTTTATCTACCGCGTTTGGAGCCGTAGAATACGAAAATACTTAATAAAAAGTTTTAACTCCCACACACACGTTATATTGTTATGCATAAGGTGAACTCAGTATATCACTGTAAATCCAAGTGTGTTATATTAATACTCTTGGAGCGTGTAAGCCGCTGTCACAGAATTTACACGTTTCTAGGCGTTTTATTCCAATACCCCTCAAGTGTGTATTTTCCACACGATTCAAACGTATTACAACATGCCTTTAAGCGAATTATTGCTTATTTCTTATTTGCTTCGCAAATCACATGTTTTGGTGCCAAATAAATAACAAAGTTGCATATTACTTGGAAAAACTAATAAATCAAGCAGATTCAAGTACCACTACTGAAATTATTATTTTCAAACATTTTTGAATTGAATGTCACTTAAACTATTCTAGGCTCAAATGATTCCTTTTTTTTTTTTGTAGAAAAGAAAAAACACACATACAAAAACTCATCACTTTTGTTTAATTAAAGATAAATTAATAACCGATAGGTGAAAAATATATTAACTTAACACATTTAAAGTGCTTTTAAAATATAACCCGCGTATGTGTGTTAAAAAAATACACGCTAAGTATATATGTGTAATCAATTACATTTAGATTAACAATGTACAAAAGCACTGAAACCATGAAATCAGGTGATTGTTATTACGGTCGCAAATGATGAACCGCAAGTTATATTGTGGGTATCGACACGAGTGCTTCACCGAAGATAGAAGCGAGGAGGACAACACATACATCCGTACAAAGGTTTTTCTTAACGTATGTACACGTTCATTCAATTCATTGCGCCAATGCGCCATGTATATTATATATCTGTGCTCTTTTCGCATATAATATATACGCGAACGGCACAAGCGTACTTGCGCACACTCACTCTCTTCTCGCGCGTCTCTAGACGCCCCAGCTATATATATATATATAATGTACTCTTCGTTCAACACACCCACACCCATTGATCATAAACCTATATTGCCTTTTACTTTTTACAGCACGTATATACTGTACCTGTATATAATCGTTTCCGTTATACATTTTTATGATGGCTATACAGTGCGGTTGTGCAATCCTCAATCTGCACTCGCGCTCGACGCGTTGTCACCAAGCTTGGATTTGGAAAATCATGTGCATAATGCTTCCAAGTTCAATTTTTCTATATATATTTCACGAAAAAAAAAAAAAAAAAAAAAAAACATTTTCAGTCTTCTGCAGTCCGTAAATTAAGAAGAATTGGACGATCAAAATAGCAAAAAATTTACGATTTTTCAAAGGTATGTTTTACACGTATAAGCACATACATGTACTCATTGCATCTATGTATATTATATCGAAAACGTGAAATAACAATGACACAACGGTATAACTACTCTTCAATATTTTTTTACCTTGGAGCTCTCAAAACAGCTTACGTAACTCTATCGATTGCCACTGCCATTATTGGACCCTATATTGAAAAGCCAAGTGGAGAAAAGCGAGCACCCACGCCAGGTAAATCGAAAGGTCTGGACAACAAAGTCGGCACATGGCGATATTATTTCGTCGCCTGTCGCGATTGCGTAACCGTAGCGCGAGTACGTATATTACGGAGCCCCCATATGTATAGGAGTTGCGTAAAACGGAGTCGTCCGATTGTCTGGCTGCTCCGCGCGTGTGCTTTTCCCGTTTTCAGACTTTGCACCCGTCTTGCATTGCATCGCCTCGGCGCTTGAATTGCATTATACATTNTTTTTTGGTTTTTTTTTTTTTTTTTTATCACTTTGCGTTATGTAAAAAATCAACTGTATAAATTGTACCTTTTACCACGCCTTAACATTAGAGGGATTTACTTTAATATTTTAACATTTTCCAAGCATGCATATTTTTTTGTTGTACATCATTGAAAAACAGCATTTAATACCAGCAGAATCTCTTTGAAGCCCAGTATTCATTGGTTACTACACAATAATATGTATAGGGTCGTTCGATTTAGATGATTGTTGCAAAGCTAAACGTTGCTTGCTTACTTGCCCGAAAAAATTTGAATCGAATGAAAGCATACTTATAAATAATAGGATACGTAGATATATTTCGTAACACATACTTCCAATCGCATACACGTTAGTCTTAAATATCTTCAGCATAAATTAATCGTAGAAAATATATATATATATATATTTTTTAGACTTAGATAATTATAATAAACCTATATTGCCTTTTACTTTTTACAGCACGTATATACTGTACCTGTATATATATATAATATATTGCAGGCTTGCGTGTAAGGGAGACAAGGGAGTTTCAGCCTCTCCACCGTCCATCCGACACCACGAACAGTTCACACTTGATCGTTCATTGTGTTTTTTGACGTTTATACTTGTCCACCTCTTCGTACAATTACAGCTGTATATACATATTGGTATATACAAGTCTCGAATGCATGGATCTGGATTTCGGAGTCGAAGTATCTATCAAGTAGAGGAAACATGAGCACAGGCGTCGTCGACGAGACGTGAGTGCGTGTGTGCAAAGCAGGTGTTAAAAAAAAAAAAAAAAGAAAAAAAAAAAAAAAAAAACAATCGGGTACAAGTGTGCACTGTGACCTCGGCGATTCGCTCTACATGTACTTACGTTGACAACGGCCTATAACTTACTCATCGAGCGGTGCCCCACAGTGCTACTCTCCTTCCACTGCACTTTTTCTGTACGTCTTCTACAAGTAATCGTTTATTTTATCAATCACATCTTGGACTCTCTTGCTTTTTTCATTCCCGTTATAATCGCCGTTCACGTCCAAAATACAACCGTCCTCCTCTCGATGCCTACTTTGTTCTCGCATTGTTAAGTATACACATCGCTATTCGTGTGAATCGATTTTTATAACCTTTAAATGCTGCAGTGCTGCAGTGTGTACACACTACGTTCTTATCATCATGGGAATAATGTGTGCTTTTGGCCAGCTGTCAGACATTTGTAATTGCAAATAAATGTTCTTGTGAGTTTCCTCCTTGTTGATCGTTAACATCGATACGTTTAGTGAACGATAGTTGAGTTAGAACCAATTTATTGACAATTAATCCATAATGGCCTGCAAACTTTTACGAATAACGAATTACCTTTTTTATACTCATACTTTCGAATGATTCATTATGGCATTGGTGTTCCGTTGCATCACTAGCCATATATTTTTAATAATTTGTTACCATTACAGTTATTATTATTCTTTAGTCGACAAGTTTTTAGTTTCCTTCACTCATTTTGTCAATTGTTTTTAGATTGTAATAGTAAAAAATGCCTGAAAGTGGAGCAGTTTACCAACCAACTACAGTTGGTTATTCATATGACACAAGAGATGGGAGCGGCTTTGGCATTAGAAACAATTTTTCCAGAATAATATCGAGGCATAAATTCAGCACGAGAAATTGGCTTGAATGGGTATTATTTTCTGTGGCAATAACGGCATTTGTGGCTGGTCTTACGGCAATACTGGTAAACTTAGTTTCATCGAGCAATGAATCCACTCCACCAAAGGTATTGCTATTTTTTCTCACGATTCGATATTTATTTGCGTGTTGAGGCGGTTCTTCAGAAAAAGAGGACTTAATTTTCAATAACCTAATCTACTGCATTGTTCAAATCTAACAACACGGAGATTGGTGTTACAAATGTTTTTAAACATTGTTTCGATTTAATAAACTGCATGCTTAAATATTATTAGCCTACATTTGATTTTGTTAATTATGCAAAAAAAGGTGTTTTTCCACTTAAAGAATTTTGTTTTCAAGATTGACGGTACAGCATCAAAGGATCCATCAGCAGAAATTAAAGAACACTCGACACCCGAGGGGGCAAGGGTATCAATAGCAGTAGGTACCGCAATAATGATAATTGGCCTTTTGGCAGGACTCGCTTTGGCATGGCTAAGATTTTTCCGACGAGGAAAATCACCTAGAGGTGGAATGACCGGCAACAGCGGTCAGGTACGTTCGATACTACAATTTTGTAGACATGTGATTTCATGACTTTTACTATTAATAGTTCGTATATACGAAGAAAAACAAAATATTATGGTAAAAGTCATTGAAAAAAAGTCATGGTCTATAAAAAAAAAAAAAAAAAAAAAAATGCTTGCTTAAGAGCGCTTGTATGATTTTTCTTTTGTCGCTTTTTTTGCATCCACCCCCACCCCCCTCTTTTGTTTGAACCTCATTTTGTAACGCGCGTTGCTATTGAACATAAAGATGTTGGGCGGTTTGAATCCATCAACTGACTTGCTGGTGGGTTCCACTTCGCAGTACGGGCCAGTACTAACCGAATTGCCGAGCCAGTTGAAATCAAAGCAGGCGAGCAGCCTCGAGGTGTCCACGGCCATCCCCATGTCGGACCACGAGGAGGAAACGCACAACCTTATGCAGGACACAACTGGCCCGAGTACCATCACCAGTCAGATACCTGGCTGAGGAAGACGCGCGAGAACATTCGAACCTCTTGCCACCAACGGGCGCCACGACGTCAATTTCTTTTTCCGTTTCATTGCTCCACTGACTTGTGTAAGATGATAGCTAAGAGCCAAGGATGGGTTTATCATTCTTTAGCAATAGTTTTTAATTTGCCCTCGATCAATACTCTGCACTGGACCGTTGTCATTTTATTCGAATGATCGAACGCTTGGATGAAAATATGATTTTTAAAAGATTCAATTACAATTTTAGTAATTTGCACTCGATCGCGTCATTTAGGATTATACGTATATATGCTTTACAAAAATCTACAAAAGTTTTTGATAAATTAATGTCATTATAAATGATTTTATATTATTTACTTACGTTTCGTGTATTGTATATTTCATAATATATTTTAAGTTAATTTTAAACCTATTATGTCACTTAAACTATTCTAGGCTCAAATGATTCCTTTTTTTTTTTTGTAGAAAAGAAAAAACACACATACAAAAACTCATCACTTTTGTTTAATT